GTGGCATCTGCCCAGGCCAACCCAGGGCTTGTTCAGGCTTCTTCCCTGGCTTGGAAAGGGTGATGGTAGGGAAAATCTTAGTGTCCCTTGGGGTTCACACCTCCTTCTCTAGCTGCCTCAGTAAGGACTGACCACATCTCTCTTACATCCTCCTACCCTGGTCATACAACTGCATTCTTCCTGTCGGTGTCCTCCTTTCCTAAGCTTTGTTGTAGGTATGACCTGCTAGCGGTGTCTGGAGGCATTGCTCGGCTCCTTGGGGCACCATCTCGCTGGAGAGGCCACGAAGCCCAGAACCAGGAAAGGGGACTAACATGAGAGGAACCCTAAGTACAGGGAGTAATGACACCAAAACATGTTTGGCAAAGGGCACCTGAGACTCAAGAGAGAAATGACTTGCTTGGGGACATGTGGCTAGTGAATGGCAGAGCTGAAATTCCAACCCAACTCCAGCCCCCAGGCCTGGACTCATCCCACTGCTCCATGCTGGGCTATTTACAGCATTAATTCTCCATCCAAAGTGATCATGAGATGCTTCTACCAGAATTTGTTTACACTTCAGAATACCGCCTTTTATGTACAGAGAATCGGGAGGTGGTCAGGCAGGAGTGGAGGCTGTATTGTTCTCTTGGGCAAAAGAAAACAATGTGGCAGTCCCGATAAAACTGACCTGAGCAGCAATCATGGACAGTAGGGAGGGGGGGTGGGCTGGAGAGGCACTCAGGGCCAAGAGTAAGGAACAAGAGAGACACCTGATGTCCAAACGGCCAAGGAAGATGAGAAGCAGGGAGAAGTCTAGAGTTCCTGATCATCTTTATCCTGGGGCCATGCTCTTATCTTTTTATTTTTTTTTATCCTCACCCGAGGACATTTTTTGATATTTTGTTCAGATAGAGTGGGAGGGAGGGAGAGAGAGAGAGAGAGAGAGAGAGAGAGAAACATCGATGTGAAAGGGACACATCGAGTGGCTGCCACCCGTACGAGCCAACCAGGGCCGGGGACAAACTGCAACCGAGGTACGTGCCCTTAGCAGGAACCAAACCCGGGTCTCTCTGGACTGCAGGCCGACGCTCTAACCGCTGAGTCAAACTGACCAGAGCACTCTTATCTTTTTAGATAGAACTTTTCAGGTAGGAACTGCTGCCCCATTTACAAATAGGAATTGTGAACTCAGAGCTTGAGGAACTCACCGAATCTCACAAAGCTAGTAAAAGTAGGACAGCCAGGATTCTAGTCTGCCCCTTTCACTAAACTGGTTTGATGGAATCCGCAGACCCACTGTGCTTATACTTGGCTAACAGTCAGTGTCTGACTATTTTCGGTTCCACTATAGCTAATATGATCTTAGCAGAAATTCCCTGGACCACGTTGCAGAGTTCACTGAGTCACCAGTGTTGTAGACCAACGAGACAGACCAGACTCAGACTCCGAACTGGGTTCAAATTAAGAGAGCTTTATTAGCCGCTCGGCGACTGTCCCATCCTACTCAGAGGAGAGAGCAGCCCCGAGCTCAGGGGGAAGGTTGCTTATATAGTTGTCTTAGCCCGTTAAGGAATTTGGATTAGGGTATGCGAGCAAGCAAGCACGTACAGAAGCAGATATTTGCAGTTAGCTGTTATGCCTGAGGGAACAATCAGTTTCTGTGTACACAAAGCAATGGTTATCTATACAATGCAGTGGTTATCTATTAGCAGATAGTTCTTGCCATTCCCTTAAAAATCCAGGGGCAAGGTCATGTGTTTGTCCTTTACACCAGCACCTAGCCTGATGCCTGGCAGATATTAATTAATGACTGTTCCACTGAGCTTTAACAGGAATGGTGACGAGCCTGTGAGGCTGTAGGGCATAGAGGATACTGGCCCTTTTTTGGAAGTAGATGAGGGTCTGGGTGCTGGGTCCTTCTGAAACCCCAGCCGTCACAACACCCCACAGGCCTGCAGACTGTGACCATGTTTCCTTGACAACTGATCTTGCACAGGATCTTTTTTTTTTTTCTTTTATTGATTTTAGAGAAAAAGGAATGGAGAGGAAGAGAGAAACATTGATGAGAGAGAACATTGATTGGCTACTTCCTGCATGCCCCCCCACCCCACCCCGGGATTGGGCCCACAACCTGGGCAGATGCCCTGCCAGGAATCAAACCACCAATGTCTTGGTGCTTGGGTCAATGCTCAACCACTGAGCCACACCGGCTGGGCAATTGCACAGGATCTTGAAGCAATGGAGGGCCGGGCTGAATTCTCCACAGGTAGAATTGCCCAGACACGGTCCAGCTCTTTGCCCTGTGAGCTCAAGTCTAAGACATGGTGACTGAGGATGTGGACCCAGACAATCAGAATACAATGTATAACCCTGGCTGGCTGAGCAGGAAGTCTCATCCTGGACAGATCCTAAAATAGGGTGTCAGAGGAGCAAACATCAATCCCTGCTAGTCAAACGCACTTTCGTGCTCCTCAGCCCTGAGTGGAATGTGGCAAAAATTGTGTGTATTTTTTTTTTTTTATCCTCACCCGAGGACATTTTTCCATTTTTTTGTTCAGATAGAGTGGGAGGGAGAGAGAGAGCGAGAGAGAGAGAGAAACATCGACGTGAAAGGGACACATCGAGTGGCTGCCACCCGCACGACCAACCAGGGCCGGGGACAAACTGCAACCGAGGTACATGCCCTTAGCGGGAACCCAACCTGGGTCTCTCTGGACCGCAGGCCGACTCTCTAACTGCTGAGCCAAACTGGCCAGGGCAAATTGTGTGTATTTTCACCACTAAACAAAACTCTTCTAGGGCTGCTACCTAGTTTACTCATCTTTGCTTCCCCAGCAGCTAGCACAGGGATAGCAATCAACGGCTGTTTAATTTTTCCCAGGTAAATCAAGACATGAGAGAGCATCTTGTGCCAGACACTCTGACCAGTGCTGGCAAGTGGTGGACTTTCTGGACCCCTTCATTCACTGGTGATGTCTGGTGGTTGGCTTCTGCCTTGCTGTTGGAAGGAATGCCAAAACGTACTTGGGCTGGTGGGGCAGGGCCATCCAAACCTATTCCAGATCCTTGGGAGCCCTGCCTGAGTTCATCCTTCAGAGGAAAAGGGAAGTTTAGTGAGGACTGTGGCCAGCAAAATCCAGAGATAAGAGAGCCGATGGAAGCCTGTAAATTGACTTTGAGAAGACACTTCCTGTTTTTCGGCTGCTCAGGACAGGGAAAAGACAGCAGCTTGGCTAAAGCTGGCAAATCTTCAAACCCCTTGTAGATAACAGGAGAAATGTGAGAAAGGGGGCCAAGAGAGGACAATCTTTGAGACAGCCCCAGCATGGCCAGTAGCCTGCACAGCCCTCGGGTCCCAACATGCCACATCAAGAAGTCTGTTCCAAAGGGCTTCAGAGAAGCAGCAGTCACCCGAAGGGACATGGCTCTGTCAGACCTGCCCAAGCTAGCTATGGAGTGCCATGAGCTTCTTTGGCTTGGTTGCTAACCATATTTTAGGGCAAAAATGCAGATAAAGGGAATCTTCCCAGAGGACAGTAGACTATTTCAGTGGCTGCTCACAGTGAGCACTGAGCACCCACAGTGAGCACTGAGCACCCACTGAAATCCCTTCCATACTCGCCAAGAATCTCAGCCCAGCAGAGAAGAGAAGCGCTAAAGGAGCATCTCTGGCCCCACACCCTCGCTGCAGAGATGGGGAAAGATTTACCCAAGGCAAGAGGAGTAAAAAAAAAAGGAGGAAAAAAATTTTTTTTTGAATTTATTTCCAAAAATAGCACCGAGGTGGACTACACAGGAAACAATAAAATTTATATTAGTTTCATAGTGTTTTTATTTGATTACGCATGATGGGAGAACGTGAATCTTCTCTGCATTTAAAACCTCCAAATGTCTCTTTGGCTCTGCGCCCAGAGATTCCAAGGGACTTTTCCAAGGTCACTCAGGGAATCAGGGGTAGAGGTGGGGGCTTGACTCCAACATCCTGACTCCCAATCTAGCGCTCTGCGTTGGGGTGACCTGTTGCATAATACGGAATAGCTGTGGATTGTCTCCTCTTATGAAAGTTCCATTTGGTCCTTTGCGACTAGCCAGCCATTCCCTTGCTGGTGAGAGTGAAGTCTGTCTTCTGGAGCATCCGGTGGACAGATTTTCCCTAGCTTTCTGGGTGCAGCCCCAACCAGCAAAAGCACTACACCTCTCTGCGCCAGGGACGCTGACATAGGGTTACGCAAATGCTAAAACAAGACGTGCAAATGTTTGCGCTCCGCCCATGGTCCTGGGGCCTTGCCTCCCCCTCCAACAATCTTCGTCCGGGTGGTGGAACTCTGGGCTCCGCCCCTTCCCCACCGCACCGAAGACGGGGTCCTGCCCCGCGTGAAGGTAGCGGATGCTCGGCGGCTGGAGACGTCCGCAGGGAGAGGCGGGATAGAGGGGGCGCCAGCGGCCCGGGTGTGGTCGCCTGGGTCAGCCGCGCGCCCCCGCCCCCGACCAGCCGGGCCTCGCAGTCCACGTCCCGCCTCGCCGCGAGGTTTGCGGAAAGTTTTGCAGTTGCTTCCCTGCCCGCGCCAGCCCGGGAGTTGTGACGCAGCGTCTGGGGCTCCGGGCCCGGGCGAGGAGGGAAGGCGAGGCGGGGAGAGGGAAACGGAAAACAGAGCGCGCACGCCGGGGTCCCCCTCGACCCCGCGGGTCCCCCTCTCCACCTCCCCTCCCTCTGGGCACTGTCTGTCCGGCCCCGGCCCTGAGCCCGCCCGCACCATTCCCTCCTCCCACGCTGCCCGCTTCCCTTCCCCTCTGCCCCTCACACCCTCCTCCTGGGCTCTGTGCTCCTCCCTCCGCCCTCCCTCCGCCCGGCCTGCCTCCTTCCCTCCTCCTCTCCCCGGGAGGCATCACTTCGTCCCAACCCGGAGGAAGACGCGAGCCCCTCGCGGGCGGTCATCACAGCCCAGCGCCCCGGCTGCCACAGCGCGCTGCGCCCGTGCTCCCTCGGTCCCCGCGTCCCCCGGCGGCGCGCCGCGGGCATGGGGCCCCGCCGGCCGGCTCCTGCGCCCTGGCTTCGCCACCTGCTGCGCTGCGTCCTGCTACTCGGGGGTCTGAACTTCGGCCACCCCGGCGCCCCCGGGGACGCCGCCACCGTCGCCCTCTCGGGTAAGGTTCTGCTAACTTGGCCAACTTCGGGGGCCAGGCGGGGGAAGCACCGAGGAGCGGGCCTCTCGTCTCCGCTTTTCCCTCCTTTTTAAATTTTCTTCCAGAAGCGTGTCTGCGTGTGTGACTCGGTTTTTAAAAATCGTCTCCGCGTTTCTGAAAGCGGGGAGGAGAGGGGGAGGAGCGCGCCTGGAGGTGGGGGAGGACCTGAGTGGAACCAGATGTGGCGGGCGGAGGGGGAGGGGAGCCCGGGGGTCTCGCGCAGCCTCGGAGGAAGGGGGCGGGCTCCGGGAGGACCCCCGCGCCAGCCCTCCCGGACCACCCGGCGTTGGCCCTGCCCTCGGCCCCGGGACCTTCGGGGCGCGCCCGCGAGAACTGGAGACTCCATCTAGTAGACTCCAAGAAGGTCTTCTTGCTTCTCCCCAGGACTGATGCGTTATGATTGTTTTCGCATAATTCGTAGGGCTTGTGAGCCTCCCTGGAATCTCGGGGTGTTTGTAATTTTCTTTTCCACACTTGGTCTTCAAGGGCAGCTTGTGGCATGCGGCATCCTCACGGCTTGAACAGAGCTCTGTGGGCCAGTTTTGTGCCACCAGGATGCAGCAACAGGCTGGACAGCGCGTGTGTGTGTGTGTGTGTGTGTGTGTGTGTGTGTGTGTGTGGTGTGTGGGCGGCTCTGACCAAACTGGCACCCCTCCAGAGTAGACAGCTCTTGGGCCGCCAAAGAGCTGCTAAAGATCCAAAAACCCAACCAACAAAAAATACAAATCTTAAACTATACCTTCTCTTTCTGCTCTTTCTAAAAGGTGACAATTAAGTGTGGGGACAGACAGACCCGTCATCAGTAATCTGAGAGCTAAAGGGAAAGATCCACTCGCTTCCTGGGGGGCTTGCATGAGTCAAAGCTGTAATTGCCAGGGAGTGCAGTCATTATACCCCAGTGCTGGGCCCAGCTCCATCTTGCTTTATGTTTAATTTGGGGATGGGGGTGAGTGAAGGGACAGTCAGTACAGTGTTTGCAATTTTGTGCAAAGTCCAGACAGCCCCATGGCCAGTGCTTGCTGGGTTGGCCCACCCAACAGGTGTGACTTTTGCCTCTGAAACACATATCTGCCCCCTGTTTGCGACGCTGGGAGAGGTGGGGGCCAGGGTGATCCTCTTCACACCAAGCAGAGTTCCCCTGCTGAATTTCAGACCCACCTGGAATTGAATGTGGACCAACACAAACCAGACAGTAGCTCCCCACCCACTGCAGGTCGGGGCACACTGGCTGCCCCTGCCTCCTGCATTCCTGCCTGTGTATTGCTGCTCTGTGAAGGAACCCAGAAGGCAGGCAGGGTGTGAGGGGTGGAGGAGGACGGCCATTCCATTTTAAAGCCAGGCCCTGGGAGAGTCGTGGCCAGAGTGCTGACTCGGCCTTTCCCCCCATGGAGCTTTTGACGGAGGAGGCAGCTGGAAGTGTCTAGTGAGAGGCCCTGTCCGGGAGGTTGCCTGCAATGCCCCTCTGCCTCCTGGTCTCCTCCCCGCCCCTACTGTCCCTCAGGCTGTGTCCCTGCACTTGTAGCCTCCACTTCCCCAGTGGCATTGCATTGATCACTGCCCCCATGGAAGAAGCTTAGATGTGGGGTGGGGTGGCAGCAGTTGGGGAAGTGGGGGGCGAAGTTGTAGGTCTTGTCCCTGCATATCACTGTTTCCTTTGTCCAGACTGCGCCTCCTCGAGGCCGAATTCCTTCCTTATCCCCCTGTACCTGATGAATTAGGGAGTCACCAGGAAGAATTTACCAGCACCATGATCTCAATGGCCCAGGAAATGCTTGTGGGAGCCAGGATTGGGCTTGACAGGCCACTGCTGCTGGGGTGAAACTTATCCTGGGGACCCGTGCCTGTGGGTGGGCTTCCTGTGGGATGAGAGGATGGAGCACTGCAGCGCCCCTTGGGGTAGCAAGGTGGCAGGGTGGCAGTGCCTTCCTGTTATGGGCTGGCAGAACCCATCTTTCCTCCACTTCGTGGGATGCCCAGTGCGTGTGGCCGGAAGACCTCTGTTGATATGTAAAATGACTGCATTTTTTAACAGCATTCACTGTTCATTGCTGAGCCAAATGCTTGAGGAGGAGGGAAGGTACAGAAGAGTGTAAGATGTATCCTTGGAGAAAAGGAAATATTGTTGGAGAATGAAACATGACACATTTAACAGGGTGGGGAGGCAGGATTCCATTGGTGGGGTGCCTGCTCAAGGCCAGGAGCCATGCTGAATGCTTTATGTGCAATTTCTCATTTAAGTCTGATTATAACTCAACGAAGTAGGTACTGTTGGGCCCACTTTGCAGTGAAAATGGAGGCAAAAAGGGGTTTTATCATTTACTGTGGCTCACACAGCTAGTAAGTGAAAATCTTGGACTGTGGATACTTAAATATCTGGAGTGGAGCAACTGTGGGGCAAAAGGTCAGCAAGGCTTTTTGGAGGAAGGCTGGGTGGGACCAGGCTTTGCAAAGGCAGAGACGGGAGCCGCGGGCAAGACCAGGAAGGTGGGCTGGACTCTTCTGGGGGTTATGTGGAAGCTTGCTGAGCTGTGGTGGGTGGGTGGGGAGAAACTCAAGTGAAAGAGGCCAAAATGGGGGAGCGACTTGCCATCTGGCAGTGGGGGATCCTGTAGAACCCTTGCAGGTTTCTGAGCAGAGGAGTGAGGTGCAGATTGGATAGAGAGTTGTGGGGAGCCCCAGGGATGCAGGTCAAGGAGTGTGGAGACCTGGGAAATCTTCCTATGGGGACAGACTCTGCTGTCTAAAGGAGCCTGGTGTGGCTCAGTTGGTTGGGTGTTGTCCCGACAACTTGTGGTTCCATTGCAGGTCAGGACACATGCCCTGGTTTCGGGCTTGATCCCCAGTATGGGGCGTGCAGGAGGCATCCGATCAATGTGTCTCTCTTACATTGATGTTTCTCTTTCTAAAAATCAATTTTTAAAAACATTTAAAAAAGTCTGGCCAGTGTAGCTGAGTGGTTGAGCATCGACCTGTGCACCAGAGGCCACCAGTTCGATTCCCGGTCAGGGCACGTGCCCATGTTGTGGGCCAAAACCCCAGTGGGGGGCATGCAGGAGGTGGCCAGTCGATGTTCTCTCTCATTGATATTTCTCTCTCTCTCTCCCTCTCCTCACTCTCTAAAAAATCAATAAAGGGGAAAAAAATCTAAAATCAATAAAGGAAAAAAGAAAAACATTAAAAAAGAAAAAGCCCGGTTGGTGTGGCTCAGCGGTTGAGCATTGACTCATGCTCCAAGAGGTTGCTGGTTCGATTCCTGGTCAGGGCACATGCCTGGGTTTTGGGCCAAATCCCAGTGGGGGGCATGCAGGAAGCAGCCAGTTGATGTTCTCTCTCATCATTGTTTCTATCTTTCTCCCCCTCTCCCTTCCTTTCTCTCTAAAAAAAGAATCAATAGCCCTGGCTGGTTTGGTTCAGCAGTTAAAGCATTAGCCCGAGGACTAAATAATCGCAGGTTCAATTTTGGCCAAGGGCACGTACCTCAGTTGCAGTTCCTCCCTGGCCCTGGTCAGGGTCATGTGGGAGGAGCCAATCGGTGTGTCCCTCTTACATGGCTGCCCCCCCCCCCCCCCCACACTCTATCTGAAAATATTTGAGAAAATATCCTTGGGAGAGGATTAAAAAATCAATAAAGAAAAAAAAAATCAAAAAGGACAAGGAAGGGAGACATTCCTTTTGAAAGACTTTCAGGTACTTGTTGCTACTGCTGAGTTAGCCAGACAAATCACCTGTACCCCTTCCCCCTCCAGTATTCAGGCTTCCTTGTTCCAGCCCACTCACCTTCTGTGAACTGTCAGGGTGAGGATGGTGCCCACCTGAGCTTTGGTTGGTGCTGGGATCCTGCCCCCGGGTTCACCTAGGCAAGATGAGGGCGCCGGCAGGGGAGGAGGAAGCCTGGGTCTTGGTCCTTATTTGTTCACACTAGAAAATCTTGGCTTTCTGATGTCTGCCTACATGGTACAGTGATTTGGGCTGATGAGATGGTTTCAGAAGTACCTTGAAATTCTCAGAAGGGTATTCATTTGGATTCACCACTAATTTAAGCATTAGCTAGGAGCCCTGCTGGACCTGTGGAGTAACGCAGTGATAACAGCAGTGGCTGATTCTTGTGCTGGGCGCTGTTACTGGCACAGCTCTTCTACATGGGACCGCCCTCCACCCTCGGAGGGTATCATCCAGTGTCCACAGCGGCAGCAGATTAGTGATGTGAAGTCATTTGCTCAAGACTGCTACCACCACACCAGTTGAAAGTGGTAAAAGCAGGATTCGAACCCAGGTGTGGCTGCTGAGCCTGGATACCTCAGCGTCAGGCTATGCTGTCTCTGTAAAATTAGGCACTGCGAGGGTATGTGCTAGGAAAGACTGGAAAATTCTGCTCTATGGGTTTCCCCTGTGGCTCCACGCCCTCTTGAACGACCTCTCGCTATGTCCCGAGAGGAAGGCCAGGAAGACGGCAGGGTGGGCAGCCCCGTTACACTCTGGCTGTCTGTGCGCTCGTCTCTCCCCCCGTCCAGTGGGCCCAAGAGGCAGGGACTGAGTCTTGCTAAGTGCCTCCGACATATCTGAAGGGGCCTGATGGAGGAGGAGCCAGCCCCAGCCCAGCACCCCAGCTTTCCTGAGGTCAGGGATGCATATGTTTCTTCCTTCTGTCAGTGGATGTTTACTGAGCCCACACAGGGATGACCGATTGGGTCTGTTCTTTGGAGACCACTTTTCCCTGCACTTGGAGGGCCTGGGCACTGCTGACCGGAAATGTCTCTTCATGTTTGGTCCTTCATTAGATGGGGAGGGGCCACTTTCCCATGACTGGATCCTGTAAATCTGGGTGGGGTGGGCCATCGCAGTGGTGACACAGCTCTTGGAACGCGCCCTGGGCACTGCACATCCCTGTTACTCCTCAGGGGTTGCCAGTAAACAGGCAGACTGGATGAAGCCATCTGTGGCCAGCATCAGTTATGTCCAGC